ATGAACATCCCACTCTTCTATAAAGATGTCTTTCTTGGACTCTCAGACCCCGTTGCTGACCTCTGAAATGGAAGATTTCAGGCTAAATGTCCTTCAACTAAAGATAGATGCGAGGAGAAAGAAAGGGTATCCAAAACCTCTTATGTAGGTGACTTATAAAACAAGACTAATAAAATACCTTGGCAAAGGATTATTTTAAAAGCTGTGCTCTTAAGCAGAAGAATGTCATACAAATACCATACTCAGAGAAGGAACAGATGAAAAGATTTCTTTTCGTTCTGGTCAACTACAATATATTTCAAATCTGGTCACCTTTCCAAAGGGGATACAAATAGCAGGGGCTGGGGCACATGACTTATGAGGAGAGGCTGAAGGAATTGGACTTATTTAGTCTGCAGAAGAGAAGACTGAGAGGGGATTTGATGGCAGCCTTCAACTTACTTGAAGGGTGGTTCCAGAGGGGACGGAGCTAAATTGTTCTTGTTGGTGACAGATGACAGAACAAGGAGCAATGGTCCCAAGTTGCAGCAAGGGAAGTTTAGGTTGGATAAGAGGAAAAGCTTTCTCACTAGGAGGGTAGTGAAGCACTGGTACAGGTTACCCAGGGAGGTGGTGGAATCTCCATCCCTGGACTCCATCCCCGGGCTCGACAAACCCTGGCTGGAATGATCGTGTTGGGGACAGTCCTGCTTTGAGCAGGGCGATGGAACAGAAACCTTTCTCAGCCTGTGGGCTGTGACCCAAAAGTGGGTCACAAGAATATACGAAAGAGTCACAAACTTTAAAAATGGGTTCTCCTTTCAAGGAGAAGAATGTGGGAAACCTTAGCTTTTCCCTTGCAGGCTGGCAGATGTCCAGCCTGCAAGTGGCTGCCTGCTTCCCCCCTGCCCCCACACACATACTGGCGGGCTGGGGGTGGGGGACAGTGGGTCAGGAGTGTGGGACACTGGGTGGGGACTGGCCATCCAGGTTTACAAATGGGTCCTGATACAAAACTGGTTGAGAACCACTGGGCTAGACCTCCTGAGGTCCCTTCCAACCCTCATTTCCTATGATTCTGTGACTCGGAGCATTTGAGCTTTGAAGGCCATCAGATACAGCCCACACCATGGATTATGCTCCTTCATCCCCCTCAAACTACTGGAGCTGCTATCGCCATCAAATATCATTGCTTTCCTGCATGGCTGAGAGTCAGGTTTCTACTTCCCTTAGCTACCACAGTCCCGCCAGGGTTCCTCTGCAGGTGACAACGGGCTCCGTGCGAGACGAGCCCATGGACCATCAGTTCCCTAAAGCTGTTCGTTACTGGAAGAACAGTAGTAGTTTAATTATCTGCCTTCCTAATCCGGGCCGGGGGAAGCTGCAGGTGTTGCCCAAATACACGAAGTGACTAGTGCAGCAGCAGCCCGTCCCGCAGGGCAAGGCGGAGACCAGGGAGGTGCCCGGCCGGAGCAAGCGGCGGGTCCCACCCGCGGCCCGTCCTGCGCGAAAGGCGCTGCCCCGCCGCGGCCACTTGGCCCGGGGGAGGCGGCGGAAGGAGCGGGCCCCGGCCGGGCTGGGCCGGCTTCCACTGCTGGCTCCTCCTTGGCCCCGGGCGCTTGAGGC